AGTATTTTGTCTACTTTCACTCTTCCACTGTTGAATATCTGAGATCAATTTGTGAAAATGAATTAAACTCAATAAAAAAAAAAAAATTGCGCACTGTTTATCTTAAGCTAGTAGAAATATACAGATCGCCAGATCCACATTTGTGGATATCTTGGCTATTGGTTTAGTTTAATCATCCTCGTTTCACACACTATTCAGGCACCACACCTAACTTTTGATTATTTTTTGAAACACCAGAATATGGGTGGCTGGTATTATGTGTTTTGTTTGACAGGTCATTTTAGTACAGTGAGGTAGGGGTTTGTTGATTTTGTTATTTTCAGTTTGTTGAAGTTAGTAAGGTGAGCAGTTAACTTGTAACTGTTAATTATTTCTTGCCTGCCTGATTACATCTTTGATATGTTCCATCCCTTAACAACTACTGGTTTTAACAGGGGATCACCTCATTATTGTAGGCCTGGGTGACTGACAAACTGGGAGGTGCTGGCACAGGGGACAGACTTATACACTGCATGTGGCTTGGCTTACATAGACTTCTACAGTACCAAACACCAAAACCAGTATGGGTGTTTCCAAACCAAAAACCATGGCTGTACAGAAGTGTCGAAGGTCGCTGCTCGAGTGCACGTGATGTTACTTTCAGGACGGGTGACATGCTGGCCAACAGAAAAAAGAGAACCCAAAAAAGATCATAAGAGACGGCAAGCACAAGTACGACTGGCGCATTGAGGCTCACATTTAAAAAAAACCCATGTGAGAGGCATTAAAACTGTAACAGACTACATGAGCAGCACCTCACAGATCAGCACACTCCTGAACCAGTTCATCGCAGAAGGGGAACAAGACACTGCGTCAGTGATGACACTATGAGAACGTCTCTGGGCGAGGCAGGCATGAATGAAACTACTCCAATCCTATTGGCGTTGCTAGAACGGTAGTGTGCCGGCGTGCTTATATACGCCTCCAGTTACGCCGTTACACCGGACACATTAGCTCTGCCCCCCAGCGGTTCCGTGCAGTAACCCATAGGCACCACTAAGAGGAGAGCGCACGGGTGCCGGGTGCAGAAGGAAGGTCCAGACTGTAAAACTGGATGAAAGTGTGAGGAGTGGCCCAGCCAGCTGCCTCACACAAATCCTGGAGCGAAGCCCCTGCGAGGAGGGCCCTAGAGGCCGCCATGCCTCCAGTAGAGTTCCCCCTTACTGCCATAGGGGAAGGTAACCCGCGCACCTGATAGCCCAGGGAAATAGTCTGAATGATCCAGTTGCTGATTGTGTGTTTGGAAGTTGGGAGCCCAGCCTTGGGGGACCCGAAACAAACCAGCAACTGGTCTGCTTTCCTCCACCGGGAAGACCTCAGCGCTCTGACAGGGCAGAGCAGATGAAGTCTCCTGTCCTCCACCGTCACATGAGGTTGGGGATGAAACGCCTGCAGCACCGTAGACCCTGCCAAACTGGACGGAACTTTAGGGACATAGCATGGACAGGGGTGCAGGATGGCTCTGACCCTCCTCGGGGCAAACACCAGGCATCGAGGAGAAACCGAAAGTGTCCGGAGATCCCCCACCCTCCTCAGAGAGGTGATAGCAAGGAGAAAGGCCATCTTAAGGGTCAGGTGCTTGGCCTCAGCTGACTCCAGAGGTTCGAAGGGGGCCTCAGCCAGCGCTTCGAGAACCACTGCCAGGTCCCAAGTGGGAACCCTGGAACGAGTCATGGGTCTCATCCTCCGGGCTCCACGGAGGAAGCGGACGACCAGTGGAAGCCTCCCCAGAGGCCCATCCCTCAGAGGGGCGTGGAACGCTGCAATGGCAGCCACATACACCTTGAGTGTGGACGTGGGAAAGGCCAGCAGAGAAGCGGTCCTGGAGGAACTCCAGTACCATAGTCATCGGGCAGGTAACTGGGTCCACCGCCCGTTCTCTACACCAGGTGGCAAACACATTCCACTTCAGGCCGTACATCCTTCTCGTGGACGGGGCTCTGGAGCTGAGCAGCTTCTCGACTGTTCCTGCCGTCAGGCCCGCCTCAAGGAACTGGGCCCCCTCAGGGGCCAGACCCACAGTCTCCACAGGGTGGGGCAAGGGTGAAAGACCTGGCCCTCCGTCTGAGTCAGATTGTCGGTCCTGACAAGGACGTGGCGACCGTGGAGAGCGGGCAGAAAACTCCTCAGAGCTCTGAAAACCACCAACATTTCCAGGCAATTTATGTGCCAAGAGAAATGATGCTCCTGCCAGGAGCCCCTCGCAAAGCGGCTGCCTATGACCGCGCCCCACCCCGTGAGTGAGGAGTCTGTCGAAATAATTATTTGGCGACATGACGCTCCCAACATGGGACCCTGGGACAGGAAACAAGGTTTCCTCCATACTGACAGGGAACGAAGGCACCTACTCGTAACCCGTATCAGATGGAGCGGATTTCCCCTCGGGGAGAATCCCTTGGATTTTAAACACTACTGCAGGGCCAGACGGGATTACGCTGGACGCTGCCTCCATGAGACCCAACACCCTCTGAAAGTGTTTCACAGTGATGGTGCGGCCTAGCTTCACTCTGGTCACTGTGGACAAAATGGACCGGACGCATGCAGGAGACAGGTGGGCCCGCATCGTCATTGAGACCCACACCACCCCTAGGAACGTAGTCCGTTGGTCGGGCGTCAGCACGCTCTTCTTCGCGTTGAGCCGCAGCCCCAAACGCTGAAGGTGGGCGAGGACGACATCTCGATGCCGAACCGCTAACTCTTGCGACTGAGCCAGAATGAGCCAGTCGTCGATGTAGTTCAGTATGCGGATGCCCTGGAACCTCATCGGGGCCAAAGCTGCATCCATGCACTAGGTGAACGAGCGAGGGGAGAGTGCTAGGCCAAACGGAAGAACCCGATACTGGTACGCCGCGCCCCGAAGGCGAACCTCAGGAACTTCCTGTGAGAGGGACGGACGGAGATGTGGAAATATGCGTCTCGCAGATCTATCATGACAAACCAATCCTCGGATTGGATGTGACTGACGATGGCGGGGATGGTGAGCAACTTGAACCTGAATCTCCTCAGAAATTGGTTCAGGGACCCCTGATCTAAAATCGGACGCAATCCTCCGTCCTTTTTGGGAACTATGAAGTACCGGCTGTAGAACCCGGACTCCCTGACTGGCGGGGAAATAAGTTCTATGGCCCCCTTTTCCAGCAGAGAGCAAACTTCCTGTCCCAACACCTGGCTCTGCTCTGAGTGCACCGCAGTCCAGACCACCCCGTTGAATCTGAATCCCCGCTAGATGCCTCAGGACCTCGAGACTGAAGAACTGAAGAAGGTCCTCAGAGCCACTTCGAGTCCCAGGGGTGTGCTGAGGGGGACCACGAGAAGCGACACTCTGGCTCTGGCGGTAGGAGCCTTTAAGGGACAATGCAAGTTGAGAGATAGCTGGCCAAAGCATCCTCTACCCGTGGCATCGTCCCATAGCCGAAACCCTTAACCCCCTCAACGTTGCTGTAAACCCAGAGTGGTCAGATGTGCTGAGAAGGGCTTGCCCCAGGATTTCCAAGAAGAAAGGCAGAGCCCGGAGCGGAGGCGGCGTGCTGCGACACAGGAAGCGCTCATCCAGCTTACTCGCAGCATGTGTGTCTGGCACAGCCTGCGGCCAATCGAGCTGGAGCTTGGCCACTGCCCGTGTCACCAACTCCAATAGCTCATCATAGCTAGGTGCTGACTGATGACGTTGGTCCGGCTCCCGGTAGTCTTCCTCCTCCATAATGCTGAGCACATCCAGTTCCTTAGAACCGGACAGCTGCAGCCTCTCTGGGCTCACACCTCGAGCGGGAGAAGCCGAGAAGCTGGCTCCCGAACGGGGAAGAGGGGAGGTCCCGATGCCTTCAGAGATGTGGCGCTGGGAGCCCCATGACCGAAGCCGCTGCCTCAGCAACCACAGGCCCCGAGCCATGGGGAGAGCGCATCCAGCCGTCTTCGGAGAAAAGAGCTGCATGGGATCTCAGCACCCTCAGGGACAGGGCCTCGCAATGGCAGCCCCCTCGAGAGCTGCCTGGGCATGTGGCATCCCCAGACAAGAAACACACAGGGCATGAGAAAACATGGGAAAACACGCTGCCTGAACTGCTCACCAGCCATCTCCTCTGCCAGACTTCCTTCCAGGTAAGAAAATTCCTCTCGTGGTTGCACTTTCCTCTTCGTAGTCTCAAACATGCCAGAGTGCCTGCTGAATAGAAAAAAGCTAATGTGCCGGTGTGCCGGCGTGCTTATATACGCCTCCAGTTACGCCGTCACACGCTACCGTTCTAGCAACGCCAATAGGATTGTAGTAGTTTCATTCATGATTTCAGCCCTGCCACGCCCAGAGGCGTTCCCATAGTGTCGTCACCGACGCAGTTCGAGTTCCCTCGAAGGGGAACTGTACAAAGGATTGTGGGAACTGTGCTCTAAACCTGGACACAGTTCACGCTAGCTGTCTACGCAAGAGGGCTAGCAGCTTCAGCATGAACCCAACCCCAGGTCACAGTTTGTTTGTGCAGTTTCTGTCTGATTTATTGGTCTGATACATCGCGCCACTGGGTTTAAATCATCATGTAAAATCTGCTAGTTTGTCCTTCAATCTAACATGAACTTAACATTACCACAAACATATTTATATTTTACTCCGGAAGGAAAGTGGGCAGTGAGTTTTAGCGTGTCAGAATACCACTTTTAGATTTTTCATTGAACGTAAAGTGACACATTGATCTGTATAAACAAGACGAGGCATTACATGCGTCTTTGAGAGAAAGGATTTCTACTTGGACACTAACTTGTAACACTGATACTACTGTGAAGTTTAAAAATGCCCCCATTTCAATTTATAAAATCAAAGTACAATTGAGCTCATTTATATTTTTGGGAAAAAGTTGCTTTATTTGAGCTATAACAGTGGAGTTAACACACTTTATGATTCATTTTCCCAGCAAATCTTTGTCTTATTTTACAGATTACACAAAGAACTACGAGAAAGAAATGCAATAATGACTGATTAACTGCTCCATGCAATATTTATTTGTATTATATATTTTAACATGACATGAGAGTACAATTAAAATCTGAATTAGCATATCAAACAAAGCATGAAATGGAGTAATATATAACAGTGGCACATAAGCAATATATTGTAATAAGTGCAAAAAATAAAATGTGATATTACATATATAAAAATATATTAACAAATACACATCTTGAGTATCTTCTTCAGTCTTTAAAACCCAGGCCACATTATCCAACACAAATCGATTGGTGCAGTGATGAGCAAAGTTACATTACAAAAGGGACATTACAACGAAGGCAAAAAACCAAGAAAGAGACATTCGTTTTCAAGATGGATTGGGATCAGATACACAGGTTCATCTCTGTTAGATCAACTAAAGCTTCAGGGTGAATTTCCTGTTATTTAAAGTTAGAGTGAGGAATCATCAGCAAAGAAATGAAAGAGATGAAATGTGTTTACCTATACACACAAGTATTCTGGTTATGATCAGGTTTTGGAAAAAACTGCATAAACCCTCATTCCAGTTTTTAAAAGAACTTTTTGGGCAGTTTTATCAGACAGCAGGGAGATGGAATAAAAGGTCCCCAGCTGGACCATTAGACCAATACATGCAAGCTGGATTACTTGCACAGAAATGGGAGAACTGAGGATCTGTAATTGATGAAAAGTGGCAATAGTACAGTATGATACTCCATAAACACTCCATCAGCTACAAATAAAATTTTGATTAAATAAAAGAATTTTAAATAATTTTAATTTTGTTTCATTTTAATGTTGTGGTCAGCCAGAAGCCAATTTAAACTCTCTCTCTCTCAACAGTATTTATATGTAAAATCAGAGATTAGGCACCCCCATATAGCCAAAACGGCATGATCCTCATTTCATAACGCATCCAATCTTTGACTATTCGGGGTCACCCCTAGGTTAAACAATTATACAATTCATCCTCTGTCTTTTCCTTTGTCATACTGGAGTAGAAGAATAAAGCAGCAGAAAATAGAAATGCAAATTTAAAGTACTTAGTTTCATATACCATATCCAAGTTTCTTACTTAGTAGATTTTCAGTAACAAACAAACAACAGGGGAAAAAAAACAATATAAAAGATAATAATAATCATCCCCTACATATTTTCGAGATATATTATTATGCCAGCAAAAGATAACCTGCCATGTTGGATGTTAGTTAGCTTATGCTAATGTCTCAATTTCACCGGCTGGTCCAGCAGCCACATTCCCTATAATATTGAGGTTACACCTGATACTCTGGCTGTTATAGTAGAGTAATATCAGAAATAGTTGAGCAGCTACAGCAGAACACACAGAACCACACTGCGATAGCTACTAACTTTACATAACAAATTAAAAGATAAATGTGGATAAAATTAGGGTATAAATATAATTTTAATTATAGAGAAATATTAATTGAATATTTTAAAATATCACAGTGACATTAGAAGTTAGGCCACATAGCAGAATGTATATGTGATATGACAGGAATGTAATAAAGAGCTTCTATTGAAATCTAATTCAACATTGTTTTTTTGGTACTTCTGTCTTACTTCCTTTCATCTTCTTTGCTTTCCCTTCACGCTTCTGTCCTGGTATTACTTACAATGTGCAACTCCTGTCAGACAAAATGAAAAAGGAAAGACAACAAAATGGTTAAGACGATAAGAAGAGCAGGTGAACCCAGAAACTAAACTCCAACACTAACAGGGTGTCACACTCTTCGTGTTTTGGGGGGATTTCTTTCTGGGCTGAGGAAGAGGAAGAGGCTGCTCATCATCAACTTGTCAACTCGTCTCGGTGCCTGAGGGGGAAGTGAAAAATTGTCTGTCCAATCAGATGCCATTCTGTAAGCAATGTATGCAAGGATAAGAGAACAGTATAAAAAGCTCTTAATAAGTCCTCATTAATCAATGTGACGGAAAGGCAAGAGCAGTCACCCCACCCAGATTCGAACCCAGGTCTACAGGGTACCAAACATGCAACTTGACCGCAACGCCAAAGAGCCAGGCTCATTAGTATGGCAGTCAACCGTAGTGACAATCAAACACTCTGCTTTGTGATTAAATCATAAAGTCAATAGTTTCTTCTAAACAACTTCAAAGTATTCAAAGAATATTGTGACTTATTATCACAGCAAAATAAATGCATATCATGTGCAAATATTTTTATTTTAATGGTTTGGAAACCTTACAAATATAATTTGTGTCCAAAATAAACAATACTGGGCCTAAAGCTGATGATACATGGAGCAACTTTTAGAGCAATCGTGCAGGGCAACATTGCCATCAATGATAATGAGTAAAGATTACTTACGTAATCCCCTTCCCCCACCATTCCGCCACCCGCCCCTATCTGTTCAAAACATAGCCGGACTTGCCACTAGCAAGATTGCCTAGTAACATTGCTCAAAAAGTTGCCCCGTGTATCATCAGCTTAACACTGAGCTTTGGGGTACCCTAGAGGCAACATTCAAGTATTGCATAGAGAGTGGGAGAAGTGATGGGCCCACCAGCTCTCTAAGAGCCTCAGTTTGATTTGTTAACAAACACTGGCAAACAGAACTTGAAAACATTACTGCCCATAAATTCAATTTTCTACAGCTTGAGGAGAAGCAACACCTACAGTGCCACAACTGCTTCCTCTGATGCTAAGCATTACCTTTTTAATTCTTCAGGACAGTGCCATAGTGAACTTAGTTAACTGTAAATCTAAATATTGGCATTTTAATCATCATTTGATCAAATTTCTTAGGTGTGCATTTTGGGTCTTAGGTTAAGGATAGGGATAATGCAAAAGTTGTGGTTAATGCGGTTAATATGAATTATGAAAAAGAGGTGTTAAAAGAAATGAACCAAAAAAAACCCTTTACCACTCAGTTGCGAGCGTTTCTTCCTTCTGGTCTGGCAGCAAACAATGACGATGATAATCAGCAGCAGAACAATAGCTGATGAGGATGGATAATTACAATAATTTTAAAATGACAACTAAACAACTGCATATTTCAAACAAGTGTAATTACTTAAATCCTAATTCCATGGTATGCAGTGAGAAGAGATATATAAAGTTAATTAGATGCAATAATAAATATAATATATAATAATATATCCGTGGAGGACAGCAAACATACCTCCTCCGATAGCAATGAAAACCCAGATTTCAATTCCACACAGTTCTTCATATAAAAAAGACTCTTAAAGGGGAAAGAGGAGAAGGAGAAAAACAGTGAATAAGTATTAATTTAATGTATTTCTTTTGATAGTCAAAACTGTGATTTTTGGAAAGTTGAGCTATCTAATGGAGAGTTGACAAATGTGCCTCTTTTCGAAACTTCTGAAGTCGCACTGCAACTTATCCAACTGAGGACCTGAGGACACTGAATGAGTGGGCTGAAAACAACACAAACTGCATGGGGGGTGCGTGGTGAGGTGGTGGTGGTGGGGGGGGGTCACCTTTTAGAGTAACATAGTCTGCTGGCTGGCATTGTCAGCATATTGGGTCCTACAAATGCAGTTTCAGTCCTAGCAGAAAATGCAGCCTCTGGTACTGCTGCTACATGCTACTCCATTCATGGCGTCTTCAACATCTTGAACATGTGTCTGTATGTGATGGGCTGGGAGTGAGAATGTGTTGGTTCTGTATGCAATAAGTCTAGTCTATTACTAACACATCCCACTGTTTATAACAGGCCACAGAGACCTGTGTCTGTAGTAGCCAGGATAATACTCACTGGGCCTATAGCAGGGTTTGTCAACAGGGTCACTGGTCTTATTGCTGACGCGGTTGGAAACTTCACATCTGAAGGAATCATTTTCCACAGTTTCAGCATTTAGTTTCAGAACCGGATCTTTCTCCTTTTCCAACACCTTGTCATTCTGAAACCATTTAAATTTGGTATCCTTGGCCTGTTGGGTTAAAATATCATTAATAAATGGTTTATAAGATGGTTATCATGAAAATATGTAGACAAAATAAATCACAGACCACAGACCGAACTTTAACGCCACAGCAATATCTATATGTGAGTGCCTTTAGTGAGCACCAACCTCAACTCATGCTTAGTTTTAGGAGGGCAAAGTAGATCACAGATAAAAACATCTTTTTGGAGGAATCATTCACAAAATACTCTTCTTATAACGTGGCCCTACGCTGCTCTGTAAATAAAACATAAATTTGTTCTCACCTGACCAACATTGCAGGCTAACATAACATTGGGTAGGGAACAGTTGAACGTCACGTTAGGCTTTGGGACAGGGTCTGAGTAGAGTAGATTTAATTAGAACAGACATTATTTCAAGTAGTGCTCATTATGCATTATAAAAACAAAAACAAATTTAGTTTTTCTGATGTGTATTGGTTATATTGTACAGCTCCTGGTGCATCACAACACACTTAAAGACAGTTTTGAACAGATTTTAAAAATGGAATAACTTTTGCATGTTCACAGCAATGTGAACATATTCAGATATTCAGGTAAGGTAACACGACAAAAACCTAACGTGGTTGCAGACCTTTGTTTCTGACCAGGTTAGGCATAAAAAGATATATCAAGATATACTTCAACAATCAAAGGAAATGTAATCAGAGATTGGTTTTACCTACCCAATATACATAAATATATGCTTTTCAACTCTTTTGCTTTTCCAATTCTATCATAAACCTGGGGGGTATAATACCCTGTGTTGTTTTTCTTCAAATTTATCAGTTTTAGGGATCCATTTTCATAAACATCCTCCTTCTTCACTGTACCAATCTCATTGTTCTGTCTTCAAGCAAACATCGTTTTATAGGACCCAAATGTCTGCATTTGGGTTACAGGCAGACACATGGACTAAGTACAACACACGACATACGATGAGGACACATCGAAGACTGAACAAAACTGAGCAGCTTATACAGGGGCAAACAGAGCAGAGAGGGAGTGAAGAGGCTAATCAGACCAAACAGGAAATAAAGCTAGACAGAGAAGAGACATAAAACCGAACACTATAAATTAACACAGGAAGTACAGCATGCAACAAGTGAGTGTAACACACTACAAGGCATGCATTATCAGCAGACAAAACCTAAATAGGAACACAGAACAAGAACACCAAGTGATAAACACAGGAGAAAACAGAAACCCAAAACCCTAATGAGTGTTTTAAAACTAACCACAAACTCAAGAAGGAAACCTAATGTCAAAGTTCTGAGTTTTGTTTGCCCACCATCCACTCCAACAACCCCCTAGACTTCTGTGTGCTAGAAGAACAAACCACAAGGAAATTACATTTTCTCCTAAACATATTGTTATTAAACCATGTACTTGTATGTAGTAGTACAAAAATGTAATTTTTAGGAGACAGGAGTGCCGTGATAGAGGTGATACCCCTGCCTCTCAGAGAGTGTGTGAGGTCACCTTGGCAGAGATGATATCGGAATGACAACCACTAGCACTATTTTTAATCTAGCAGGAAAACGAGAAGTGCTTTTTATTTATGATTCTAATGGAGCAATTAGCTTTTGCTCAGCAAAATTTGTCATGGATGACTCTGCTGATGGCTTAAGCAGAAACAAATAATCCTACATCCTCTTTCTGTGACACCCATTTATGGTTACTGTCTGTCTACTACACATTTGCCCATTTAGCAGTTGGCATGTGCCTTCTCTATTGCACAATCGCCACCCAAAAATCTTCATAGTATTTTCCACCATAACGGTTCACTTTCATCAAAAATCCTTTGCTGTGTGGGGTTGCACAACAGTTGCATAACACATGCTCCGTGACACTGATTGGCTGGAAGTATTACTGCCCTCACTAACGCATAGTCTTTGTGTCACTATATCATAATTAGAGTGTTCAAACAATCACATACTGTTTTAATCTACTTTTGACATAAATGTAGGGCTTTAGTCAATCAATGAACATATTGGTCAACTAAAATTCTATCTACTTTTCAACCAGTCAACTGGTAACTAATAAAAGTTACACAATATTGTCAAGCTAATAAATTCCTGCAGTTTGACCAATTTTTTAATCACACGTAGCTATCAAGTACATTTACATACAGCAGCAACACACACACACACTCCAGCCAGGATCACGGAGAACAGGCTTAATGATAATACTCACTGGGCTTATAGCAGGGTTTGTCAACAGGGTCACTGGTCTCATTGCTGACAAAGTTGTAAACTTCACATCTGAAGGAATCTTCTTCCAGAGCTTCAGCTGTCCCATTCAGAACCGGACCTTCCATCTTTTCCAACTCTTTATTATTCTGAAACCATTTAAATTTGGTATCCTTGGTCTGTTGGGTTAAAAATATCATTAATCGATGGATTATTAGAGGGCTGTGGTGAAAATATGCAAACATTGAGGTGTAACATAAAAAACCCGGGGTAAAACCTTGCAGGACAATTTAAATTTGAGAAACTGTGGACGAGACCACAAAGTTGGCTCCAAACACATTTTAAGGACACAAGCTATTTTCTTAGGGTTTGATCCTTTTGTTATCCAGACGAGAGTTAAGCTAAGTAACTGCAACATATGAGGCTACTGTGTTTTTTGCAGCTTGAGATTCATCAAAAAAAGTTAGATATGTGGAGGCCATGTGTGGTTGGAGAGCTCACACATGAAGAAAAACATGAGCACAAATGGTTGAGCATTTCGCAAACAAATGAATCACAAATACAAACCTTAACGATGAAGCAACATCTGTAGGTGAGCGCCTAAATGAACTCTTGCTTAGTTTTAGAGACGGGGAAAGTAGACCACAAACCCTCTCTGCCTACAGAGTCTACAAAAACATCTTTATGGAGAAATCCTTTACAAAAACTTCACTAACAGCGTGGCACTACGTTGCTGTAAATAAAACATATTTGTTATTTGTTACATTTGTTCTCACCTGATTAACTTTGCAGGTTAAAGTTACAGTGGGTGGGGAACACTTAAACTCCACTTTAGGCTTCTGGACAGGATCTAAGTAGAGTAGATTGATTAGATCAAACATTGTTTGAAATACTGCTCATTATGCATTATAAAAACACTGTAATTATCAAGTCACTTCAAACAAAACATGAAAACAAACACGGTGATCTGAAGTAATGTTGTTTTCTGATGTTTGTTGATTATACTGTACAGCTTCTGGTGAATCTACTATTCAGCAGATAAGGTTACAGGGTAATATTTCAAGGTTCAAGGAAGACCTTTGTTTCTGACCCAGGTAAGGCATAAAAAAGGAAGACAATAAGGTATATCAAGACATACTTGAATAAACAAATAAAAAGTGTAATCAGAAGTTGAAGTTGTTAGTACCTACCCAGTATACATAATTGTATGCTTTTCAAATTCTGTATTGCTTGTCCATTTTGATCATGAACCTCGGGGGTGTATCTCCCTGCTTTGTTTTTCGACAGACTTTTCAGCTTCAGAGATCCATTTTCAGAAACATCCTCTTTGGTCCCGGTGAGATATTTGTTGATCGGTTGTCGATAAAAGACTGTTACATCATTGTGCTTCCATTTCAATTTTTCTAAATTTCCCAGTGTGTGGTTCAGAATCAGAGTCAAGTCCCCGCCTGTCACTGCATACTGGTCACAGTTAGCCCGAGAATCTGTGGAACAGAAAGAAAGGTGAAGAAATTCAAAGGAATATCAGATGGCGCAAAATTTTGCAGTCATGTTATGTAGGCCCGCCAAAACATCACATGACAATTCATATGCAGAATACTGTGATATTTGTGTGCGTGCTAACTTCAGTGCTACTAATATTTTTTAGGTTTTCTAAAGTCTCATTAGTGATCTCTAGTTGCTGCAGTGACCATTACACCCTAAAAATACTCCTGCAGTGACTTGACACCGATACCTATGGTGTGCACAACTCAAGTACCCTCGCATTTATACTTGTGAGTTTGTGTCTGTGTCACTCTGCAATTACACCCCCAGTTATCGGTGAGGCCTCTATGTTCAACTATGTTGACTTCTGCCAGTGAGCCAGCTCACTCCCTGTTTAGCCTTCCACTAACTTGAATGGTGTTAAAACCTTTATAATGTGGCTCTTCTAGACTTTCCAAATGTTGACGACCGAATGGATCAAATTCTGATGGTAGAACGAGTTGTTTCACTGAGGTTGTGATGCTCAACAAAATGTATCCACTGTTTTACACCAGCATGTCTGGCCTCCACCTGCTGGCATGTAAAACTGTCTGCTCCCAGCGTTGTTCCAAAGACTTCTATTCCTGTCATCATCACGCATAGACCAGTAAACCGAAATGTGCACATCCCACACAGAAATATTAGTAATCTCTTAAGGATTAGGACAACTGCACCAACTACAGCACCTAGAACAAACACATTTAAAATGGCTCTCTTCAATGAGAGATCTCTGTCAAGTAAGACTTTTATCTTAAATGATTTTATCTTGTCTGCAAATCTAGATTTTATGTTTTTAACTGAATTCTGGTTGCAAATGAATGACTATACCGAGCTAGCTGAACTGTGTCTGCCGCAATATGATTGTTTTAGTCAACCGAGGGTCAGTGGTCGTGGTGGTGGGCTAGTGAGCGTGTATAGGAAATATTTAAAATGTCATCAAGTACGCTGTGATGAATTTAACTCCTTTGAAGTTCTCACTCTTAAAGTTGGAGGGCTGCAACCTATCATATTTGTTATAATTTATCACCCCCCAAAACCGCCTGGAGGAGTTTTATTAGAACTTCCTGAATTTTTATCTACTCTGGTTTTAAATTATGACAGAATTGTTCTTTGTGGCGATTTTAATATTCATGTTGATGACCTCACCAATGTTAATGCAACTGACTTTTTAAATATGGCCACTTCTTTTAACTTCAAAAAACATGTCAAAGGGCAAACCCATAACCGTGGTCATACACTGGACTTAGTTTTTACCCTGGGTGTCAGCATTTCCTCTGTGGAATTAGTGGACATGACCATATCTGACCACAGATGTATTGTTTTTAGCTGTGATTCGCCTGTTACTCATGCCGCCTCACCAAGCTCTGTGTGTTCTCGCATCTTTAATGAACTAAGTGTTTCAAAGTTTTGCAAATTCTTTCAGAGCCAAAGCCAACACCTGTCTGATTCCAACACCAACAATCTGGTCGATCACTTCAATCATATTTGCTTGTCGTCACTAAATATTACTGCTCCTCTAAAGGTTTGGCCTACGTCTAAAGCTAGTAAGCAACCCTGGATAAATGACAGCATTCGCAGCCTAAAAAGGGAATGCAGGAAAGCAGAGCGCAGATGGAAAAAATCCAGTCTCCAAGTCCATTACCTCAGTCTGAAGGATTTATTAATTAACTACAATAACATGGTTAAGGATGCGAGAACACACTATTTTTCTGAACTCATTACTACACATAAACACAATCCCAGGTTTCTGTTTAAGACTGTGGATCAGCTGGTAAACCCAACCCCTCCTTGTGCCTCAGCTGGAAGTAATGATGACTGTGATGTGAATTGTTTTTATCTTATTTTATCAATAAGGTGTGTCAATCAGAGCCTCTATTACCCCCGCGGCCTCTTACTCAGAGGTTCCTCACCAGCAACAAGAGAGTTTTAACCAGTTTTATCCCATTGACTTGTCTGAGCTTTTAAAAACAGTATCACAAATGAGAGTGTCCTCCAGCCCACTTGATGTAATACCTACAAAGATTTTACTGAAAGTAATAGATTCTGTTGGGCCCCATTTGATCTCTGTTTTCAACAGCTCCCTATCTACTGGTTGTGTCCCTGATTATTTTAAAACGGCTTGCGTGAACCCACTTTTAAAGAAACCTGGTTTAGATCCCTCCCTCCCACATAATTTTACACCAATTTCAAAACTGCCTTTTATTGCAAAGATTCTAGAAAGAATTGTGTCCAAACAGCTGCTCACTGTACTGGAAAATAACAAAATATTTGGAAAGTTTCAATCTGGTTTCAGGAAGTACCACAGCACTGAGACTGCCCTGCTTAATGTCACCAAATGACCTTTTAATGTCTGCTGATGAAGGCATGTGCTCAGTCCTGGTACTCCTGGACCTTAGCGCTGCTTTTGACACCATTGATCACAACATCATGTTAGACAGACTGAGTCACTGGGTGGGGATCTCTGGTACTGCCCTAGAATGGCTTTCATCCTACCTGTCAAATAGGAAGTTTTGCGTGTCTGTAAACAACTATGTCTCTTCGTTCTGTCCAGTTAAATATGGTGTGCCTCAGGGGTTGGTCTTAGGACCCATTTTGTTTTCCTTGTATCTGCTTCCCCTTGGACATATTATCCATAAACATGGCATTTCTTTTCATATTTATGCTGATGACACACAAATATACTTGCCCGTCAGATCCACAGACTCTGGAATGCTGAGTTCACTTAACAACTGCCTTTGTGAAGTTAAAAAATGGATGTCAAATAATTTCCTCCAACTGAACTCAGACAAAACAGAAATCCTGGTCATTGGGTCCCAGCAGATGGCAAATCAAATACTGCCATCTGCTGGTTCCCTAGTAAATCACATTAAGCCTGTGGCAAAGAACCTTGGGGTTTGGTTTCATAGTAATTTAAATTTCGAGCAGCACACCACAAAGCTTGTTCAATCATGTTTTTATCAACTTAGAAATATAGCAAAAATTCGATCTATGTTAACTTTTTAGGACACCAAGACCATTTTACACGCCTTCATCTCATCACGCCTGGATTATTGCAACAGCCTTTTCACCTGTTTAACCCAAAAATCTATTGATCGACTCCAGACTGTCCAGAACTCAGCTGCTAGGCTTTTAACCAGAACAAAGAAATATGACCACATTACCCCTATTTTAGCTTCACTACACTGACTCCCAGTATGTTTTAGAATTGACTTTAAAATTTTATTGATTAGTTTTAAAGCTCTTCATGGCCTCTCGCCTTGTTATATTTCTGAACTTTTAGTCCCATACACCACCAGCACGTACCTTGAGATCCTCGGGCAGAGGTCTGTTGTCTGTTCCAGAGTCTCGACTGAAAACTAAAGGGGACAGAGCGTTTGCTGTCAGGGCCCCGAGGCTCTGGAACAGCCTGCCTGAGGAAATCAGGTCAGCTGAGTCAGTGAACTCTTTTAAGTCCCTTCTTAAAACATACTTTTATAGGAGAGCCTTTCCCGATCTTATTTGACTTAATTTTATCCCTTTTATTTTATTCTATTTTACTAATTTTATAATTATCTTAAACGTGTATTTTAGTCTTTTCAATGTTTTCATGCTTTTATCTTGTATTGTTTTTGTATTATTGTCTCTTGGGTATTATTGTCTTTACACTTGTTAAAGCACTTTGTAACTTGTTTTTGAAAAGTGCTCTACAAATAAAGATTATTATTATTATTAATTTGAAAAGTTTTGAAAAACATTTATTACATAGTTCACCGAAGTTTTTGACATGTTTGACAAGTAAGAGATTAAAAGAAAAAGGATTTAAAATTTAAAGAACACACTTAGTTTTTTACACATGTATTTATAGATGTATCAGTACAGAAAGTCTGTATTTAGTTAAACCATCTATATTTCACTCAGTACATAACTGTCTCAAACGTAGCTATTATTTAATGCATTTAGGAACATTTATTTCTAGTATAGTCATGTATATTTGTTATTTGAAATCACGTTGTTGCTTTTCTGTACTGCATGGCTGCAGCTTCTGTAGGTCACCTAGACTGAAGCGCTGTCGCTTTGCTTCCTGTTTGTCCTCTGTCACCTCATTTCAGACTGATGTTACCACATCAGCAGCGTGTTTTTGCTGTAGTTATCTTCCCAGGTGATTTCTTCTAACTTTGATATATTTCTGGCAGAGCTTTCAATTCACATTCACCAGCAATCACAAACATTTCGACAAAGACGTTAACAGAATATTGAACAGATATTTATACTAACAGTATAGTACAGTCAATTTGACCAGATGCTGTTTCAAGTCATTCAATGGCAACCGCAGTGGGAAATTTAACCCTTAACCTGTCCATGTCAGTGATTTTAGCAGCAGTAGTGTTTTTGTTTTGTTGGTTCCCCTTTAGTTCCACAGTGATGAATCAATTCAACACTTTACTGATTCAGTTAACAGCCATTACTTTTTGATGTAATCATTTTAGTTTGAGAATTTCTGTCAATATAATATTCACGTTTAAAGCATCAGTCCATTGTTCTTGCATGTTTTAGCTTATTTACAGTATACGTATATACAACACTTAATAAGTTTAAAAACAGATTTCTGCGCCATACTGAAATAAAAGTAAATGTTACCTTGTTATAAAATAAACTACTACAGCATGCATTGAAAAATGATTGGTAACCAAACAACGGAACAAATATCTAGGGTTGAAAACATGTTAAAGAACCTCATTTAACTCTAAAAAGTAGAAGTAAATTATTTGAAAAGCAGGAAATGTATTCACTGGACCAGAGCTTTTTTTTTTCTTTAAAAGAGGCTTTGCTTTTACAATTAATAAGAATCAGCACTGTTACAGGAAGTAAGTCAAATTGAAAACATTAATGAATATGAGGACATAATTATTTAATTGCGCAGTACCTGTGGAGGTGATGAGGTAGCAGAGCAGGAGCAGAGTGGTGGTGGAGACAGCAGCCATCTTCATTACCATCATCACATTCAGCTGAAAACAAGAACCGCTGCTTTCCATTGTCAATTTCCTGTCAGAGCAGAGTGTGCATGTGTGTGGTTTCTAAAGGAAGTGATCCAACAGGCCCCATCTACTTTCAATGTCAAAGAAGAAAACATGCAAAGCTAATGTTATATTTAAAGCACACGTAGAGATGTGCACTCTATAAAAGTAAACAAAAGCCATGGTCCTGACAATATATGTGGTTGTTTACTTAACTATTGCGCAAAAGATCTAAGTCCTTACAGATACAACATGTACCCAAGCTTTGGTAGGATTCTGTGGTTGTACCTGTTCGTAAGTCCAGCTGTCCTACCACCCTAAATGAGTTTAGGCTGGTTGCTCTGACCTCTTTCTTTGAGAAACTTGTCAGGATTGTCTGAGATTTTAAGGCTTACTGAACATGCACCGGATCCTATGCAGTTTGCATAAGACCTCACGGAAGAGTAGAGGATGCTACAGTCACTTTGCTTGACACCAAGGGCGTCACTTTGTGTTGAAAAGTGGTGGGGACCCTTCCCCAGCGTCCCCAGAGTAAATGACACCTATGCTTGATATGCTTTTTAGACATCTGGATGGTAAAGGGAATCATGCCAGACTTTTATTTGTGTACTTTTCCTCTGCTTTTAACACAATCCGACCCCATATTTTAACACGAAGGCTTTTGGAACTGTTTTTAACAAACAGGATGCACAGAGAGTGCAGGTAAATGGGATTTTGTCAGACGGAAGTGTTATTCCACAGGTTCCCCACAAGATTGTGTGTTGTCGCATTTGTTATTCATTCTTTACACAAATTTGTGGCAGAGCAGATATGACAACACAACTGTAAAAACCCCAATATGTTTAGCGCCACAGACAAGATAGCCCCGTTGAACATACATTCAGTTGGATTTACTATGTATTTTACCTGGTTTGGGGCTTTTATTTTGAAAGCTACTCGCTGGTACTGAACTAGTTTCCTGCTGCATGTAACAGAAAAGAGGAGAAACGGCAAAATGCACACTCAATGAAATATTTAATGTATAAGCACCCCTTTGAAGAGGCACAAGGTTAGTATTTGTCATAATACTGTAACAATAACATGTTGGAGGTGTTTTGAACAATTGTAGCTTTCTAGCTGTTTGTTTAATTGTTTAATGTTGGTTTTTGGATTTCCAAAAACTCTAAAATCATCAATTCAAGTGTCAGACCATCTTTTAGAGGGATATGCTACAGTAAGAGCTTGACCTGCACCTGCTGCATCACGCTGCCAGTGGAACTCATGAGAAGACGGCATACAGAGCAGTGAGTTGCAACATCTAGTGAGATGGTCAACTGTGAGTAATTGTGCTCAAAATAAAAGGCATAAAGGAATAGATACATAAGCTACAAACAGAAATTCAAGAGAGTAGAGGCCACACTTCTGTGTGGAGTTTGCATGTTCTCCCCGTGTTTGCATGGGTTTCCTCCGGGTGCTTTGGTTATCCCCCACCAGCTTCAGTCAGTGCCATTGACCAGACACAAATTTGGAGTTGGTCCCCGGGCGCTGCATGGCGGCTGCCCACTAGTCCCTTGAGGGATGGGTTAAATGCAGAGAATGAATTTTGCAACATGTATGTGACAATAAAGTACCTTTACTTCATCAAGAGGAAGGAATTTGAAGGCATGTCAAGGCAGGAACAAAAGATGGAGGAAAAACAACTAGCCGAGTTTTAACACAAAATGGATGATGCTGATGGGTAAGCATTACCACATCGTTCAGAACATCCTAGTGTGCCCACAGAGAAAATACTCACATACCAAAAGGAGGAACTGAGTGAAAAAGAAATAAAGACTACTCAGCCTGTACAAAAAAGGAAAATTCAAATCAGAATATCCAAAGAAAATTTTAAGAAAAATATATCACAAACTGGCTACAATGGCAGACACTACTGAACAGGAAAAGGATGATCTCATGAGATAATGAAGTAAGAGAAACTTTGATTACTTTACGCTTTAATTACTTGTTTAATGAAATGTATGGGGTTGATTGTTGATTGATGTTTTGGCAATATTGTTGTTACACATTCATGCCAATAAAGCTAATTTGAATTGAATTGAAGGCGGCACGGTGGTGCGGTCGCCTCACAGCAAGGTCGTGGGTTCAAACCCCGGGTGCCCCGGCCTTTCTGTGTGGAGTTTGCACACCGGAGCGGTTCTCTCCAGGTGCTCCGGTTTCCTCCCACCATCTAAAGACATGCAGGCTAGGTTACCCTAAATTGTCCTTAGGTGTGAGTGTGAGCGTGAGTGGTTGTTTGTCTATGTGTGGCCCATGGACTGGCGACCTGTCCAGGGTGTACTTGCGCCCAATGTCAGCTGGGATTGGCTCCAGCACCCCCACGACCCTGTACGCAGGATAAGCGGTTGACGATGGATGAAGTGAATTGATGCATGTTAGATTGATGCATCATTATGAAACTAATCTAACACTTATCAGCAGTAGACGGTGATGCTGTGATGTGATGCAGAGTGTGAAAGGCACCGTCTCAGTCAGCATATACGTTCTTAGTCAGCTGCCAGTCGCCACTCAGAATCAATGATCACATCAGCTAAAAGGGCTGATGCAGCTGCAGAGCTTGCTGCAAAGGAGGCTCAATACAAACTACTGCAGGAAGAAAGAAAGTAAAAGGAAAAAATAAGAATAATGGAGGAGCAAGATAAGAAGGATTTAGAAGTGCAGAAGTCTGAATTAGAGCATCTACTGGCAGAAAGGGACGTTGCAGAAAGTTACTCAAGTTTCGCCACTATGAATCATGGGCCATATGTAGCCTGACGTAACATCAACTTATAATGAGCCCACAATAACTCTGTACTTCACAAGGCTTGTTTTAGTAGTTTTAGTTTAAATGTTTTTAAATTTTAAAATCATTGCTCTAAGATGAAGTACATTTAGATAAACTCTAGGAGATGACACTACATAGATCTGATCTAGCCAATAGTGTTAAAATAGTTTCAAGTTAAAAACATGGGCTAAGCCACCTCCACCATCAGGAGTCCTTAGGGAATTTAGGAAGCTATAGTAGGGAGGACAGAGATCACCAAGGGAGGTGAGATAACCAACGTTAAGCCAGGTCTCCGTCAGTAATAAAAAATCCAAATGATAAGTAAAATTATTGTTAAAAATAAAGGTCTTGTTTGATAGGGGCCACACATTTATTAAGGCAAATTTGACGGCGGGGTCCAGTATTTGCTGTACAGCCCGCTCTGACATGATGCATACTTCCACAGTATTTTAATAGACATAGATTTTTAACATTTACTCTGCCACTCAAGATATTTGCTTCAGCAGGGAGATGGCAAGGTGACCAGTATATCATTATTGAGTACCTATTAGAGATGTCCACAGGCAGGTAGGAGGAGCTATTGCAGCCAGAGATAGGAGATAACTGGCATTGAAGCTAGAGCGGTTTGAAGCTAGAGGGTTTAGATGGCATTAAAATTTATAAGAAACAATGTATTAATTTTTATTAGTAGTAGTATTATTTTATAATTAATAATAGAATATAAATATAGAATAGATAGAATATATATAGAATATAACTTAAAGATATAGTCACCCCGAGGCACCACTCTTCATCATCAAAAAATCATAGCCAAGTACCTAACTCAGTCTCATTAAATATACTAAACTCTTAATTTGAACTTTTTGTTAATATTTAAATGAATATATATATAGCTATATATAATATATAAACAAATTACCATTAATAGATAGTAGGTTGAAGGATTTGGGGCTCTATGTGGAAGAGGTTTGCAGTATATTCATTCTTATGCAATCTTAAAGAAACCAGCATGTATTTACACAAGGTAAACAAGACTGCAGGCAAGTAGCTTGGACTGAAACTGGCACAGCTAAGAAATTGGAACATAGTGTAGGCCCCCCTTACAGCCACAGACAACAGGTCCACATTGCCCTGATGGCAAACTGTATGACTGGAAAGCAAATATATAAAAATCTAAACCTTTATGGTTATGTTCCAAGATGGTGCCGCAGACGGCCGCCTCGGGATTACGCTCCGTAGTGCTTTTTGTGTTTTTGTTAGTTAACGCTGTTTTCTGCCATCCCTCTCTGGTAACTATTACCAGAGAAGAGCTCTTAAACATTGGACTTTCTACTGCTCATACTATTCCACCGCTCTTTATTGACCCTGGAACTTTCCCGGAGTTATTAGTTGGAAGAGCAGCAGCTCTGTTTGGGATCCTTCGCAAACGGTGCAGGGAAAAACGAGCAGCCGCGCTGGTTAAACTGAGACAGCGGGGATTTCGCACTGCGCTTCCTTCAATCCACCTGGCGAATGTACGCTCTCTGGCCAACAAAATGGACGAACTGCTGCTCCTCAACAGAACCAACTCGGACTTCTGCAGATCTGCTGCCCTCTGTTTCACCGAATCCTGGCTCACCGAGCGCATCCCGGACAGCGCACTTCACCTACCGGGATTTAATCTCATCAGCACGGATCGCAAAAAGGAAGCTCACGGGAAAAACAAGGGGAGGCGGACTCTGTTTCTATATAAACGAAGGTTGGTGCACAGATGTCACAGTGTTTAAGAAATCATGCAGCCCTCACTTAGAGACATTTTTTATAAACTGTAAACCTTTTTATACACAACGTGGAGAAAAATCATCCAGACTCCCTGCTCATTGTTCTTGGGGACTTTAACAAAGCAAACCTCAGTCATGAACTTCCAAAGTACAGACAGCATATTAAGTGTCCCACCAGGGACACTAACACACTGGACCAGTGCTACACTACACTACTCTCCCCACTGCTCTTCTCCCTGTACACCAACGACTGCCCCTCAAGAGACCCATCTGTCAAACTCCTGAAGTTCGCTGACTACACAGCGGTCATTGGCCTCATTTGGGACGGTGACGAGTCGGCCTACAGACGGGAGCGGGAGGTTGATCAGCTGGCTCTCTGGTGCGGTCAGAACAACCTTGAGTTTAACACGCTCAAAACTGTGGAGATGACCGTGGACTTCAGGAGGAGCACCCCCACTCTGCCCCCCATCACCATACTCAACAGCC